CAGTGAGGGATCTGTGCCATTGCTGGGAGTTGTTTATCTAAGGTGTTCTTACCAGCTTCTGGTGATGCAAACTTGGGTCTCCATCTCTGAAGGGAATGATGATGTGTAAGAAATGTGTAATTGCAAGGTGAAAGGGACAGGGATGTAACTGGATCATGGAATCCCAGAYTGGTTTTGGTTGGAACAGACCTTGATGTCCGTTGGGTTCCACGCCCTGCTATGGGCAGGGACATCAGACTGCTCCAACCTGACCTTGAACACTTCAGAGATGGAGCATCCCCCACTTTGCTGGGCAGCTGCCTGCAAATGGGGAGGTGAACATGGGAAGTTTGAGTGTACCATCCTTTCAACCCCATCCAAAGGGAAGGAGTGGGAGAATCAGTGACACCTCAAAATGTCCCAAAACTGGAAACATGTATGTGGGGACTGTCAGATCACAGACAAGTGATCAGATCACAGACTTTCATGTGGTTAAACAAACCTGTGTGAGCTTGCACGCGTGTTGTGCGCCCTTCCGCATGCTCTGGGTTATGTAAAACGGGCTTTTTTTTTCTCTCCTGAGACAAAACAAGATTTGGGAAATAAATTCTGTGTTGCTGTGAGCATGTCAGCACAGGACTGCAGGGGTGGAGCTGGTGTACGGAGAGGAAGGAACTCCTGACAGGCAGTTGTGTTTATGCTGCGCCCTGATGCCACTAAATTGTGTTTTCCAGGGCCTCTCTGTGTGTGAGGCTTATGCAGATTCTGCTCTTGACAAAAATCCTTGATTAAAACCCAAAGTGCATAGAATTAAATCCCACACAATTATTTTCTGTCTGAGCCAGGGAAAATGAGTGCTCTTGTAAAAAATTCTCGATTGGCAGTTTTCGGTTCCCATCTCTATATTATTAACTTTATTAATAATCTCTCTGAACTTTGAGAGAGAAAAAGCTTTTGCTTTGAAGTTTTTATTTTGCCCTATAATGTAAATGATGGGCTTGCTCTTTCTGAAGTTGCTTCTTTGACAGATCCAGTATTATTTTACATATATTTGTATGTATATGTTTATTTTACATATACACATGTACATATACAATGTATTTTGTACCCCACCTGCTAAATGTTGCTGAATTTTAATTAATCAGCATTTTCAGAGAGAGGATTAGTGCAAGATGATTTATCCTTCCTAGCATGGGAATGCGTATCCTGAAGCCACATTCCCACAGGCTGTGATCTTACTGCATCTCCTGCACTAAACAGGGTTGGGCCTGCTTGGCATTTGAGTGGGAGGTCTCCAAAAACCTTGAGCACTGCTAATCCAAATTCACTTTGGCCAGTGTGGTGGCAGGTGGCTCTGTGTGGCTGCAGTCTCACGTTGGCTGCCTCCAGCTGTCTGGTTCCTGGTGCTTTTCCCAGAGCAGAGGGTTAATTCCATGCCTGATTGACAGGAATGCTCTGCAGGTACCAGTGGAAAGTGCAGAGAGTGTTTTCAGTAGGCAGAGTGTAATTACCCAAAGGGAATTAGGCCAAGACATCAAAGTGATTTACAGCCTTGGCATGAATCCCCTTTCCTTTTATACAAAGGAAGATCAGAGGCACAGAGGGATAAAGGATTTTCAAATTCTCTGCAGCACAGGTTGCCCCTGAGTTTTGGTGGCAAGGTTGGAATGCTTTTTAGCAGCTGGGTTTTTTTTTCTGTGGGTTTTGTGTCTTGGTGGTTTTTTTGAAAGCATGTGCTTTAAAAAGTTCTCTTTAAACTGCCTCAGTTTGGAGGCCCCTAAAGCTTAGCACCCATTCCCTAAGGGATTCTTGAAGATGTGCATCTAAGGAGATCTTCATCCAAGCCAGACCTGGAGACAAGAACCAAGCTCTTGACTCCAGTCTGCTCCAAGGTGTGCTAGGGCAGAGTGGGATAATATGGAATTGATCCTTCACCTTCTTAATCCAACTTTCTGCCACTTTCTTCTTTGTTATTCTCCAAGCCTAATGCTTTCTTCAAGCCCCAGCAGTGGGGTTCCCCCCAGAGCCCTGCAGTCAAAGCCCAGTCTCTGCCTCCAGACCCACCCACATCTGAGTTCCCCAGGATGATCCCCGAAGCTGGCACCCCCCAGAAGTCCCCAACAGCAGAGAAGGCTGTGGCAGTGCCACCAGGCCGGCCCTCCCCAGCAGGATCCCCCAGGAACCGGCAGACCCAGACCAGTTCCAGCAACCTCCACCTGCCCCAGGACTCTGCTGGGAAGGGGCAGCCGGCCAGCGAGGACCCCGTGGTTGTGACCCACGAGCAGTTCAAAGCTGCTCTCAGGATGGTTGTGGACCAGGGAGATCCCAGGACAATGCTGGAGAATTACGTCAAGATCGGGGAAGGCTCGACAGGAATCGTGTGCATCGCTCGGGAGAAGCACTCAGGGCGCCAGGTGGCCGTGAAAATGATGGATCTGAGGAAGCAGCAGCGCCGGGAGCTCCTGTTCAATGAGGTGAGTGTGCTGATGACAGGGGGATTCTGCTGTCTGCATTGGAAAAGTCAGCGTGGCAAAAGGAAGGGAAGAGCACGAGCAGCTTCCTTTTAGGAGCGTTATGTTTGTACCAAGAACTGCTGCTGGTGGGATGGAGGTTCTGCTCTGTGCTCACAGGGCTCTGTGTGCTCGCTTGGTTGGAGAAGATGAAGTGTTGTGACCGATTTTTTGTGGTGGTCATTTGTCCACTGTGTTTTTGCAGGTGGTGATAATGAGGGACTATCAACACGTCAATGTCGTGGAGATGTACAAGAGCTACCTCGTGGGAGAGGAGCTCTGGGTGCTGATGGAGTTCCTGCAGGGAGGAGCCCTCACAGACATCGTGTCTCAGATCAGGTACAAAGCAAAATCCCAGATACCAGCTTGTGAGAGAAGGAGCAGCAGAGTGGGGCTTTCTGGGGTGAATAGTATCCCTCAGAGATTGTGTATTTGCAGCGTGCCCTGGGACAACTATGGTTTATAATTGTTATCCATTTGAAATATGTGCTAATAGCTCTGATGTACAAGGAACCAACTTAAAGTACTGATCCCTTTAGATCCCCACCAGACATCTCCCTGATGACCTTCCCTGTAAAACACAGTTCTCATAAAAACTGTTGTTTACTACATCTGTTGAATCCTGGCCAGGAAGTTCATTGAATAAGTATTAAAGAGCATGCAGAAATAGTTTTCAGTGGTGCAACCTTAGCCACAAATTCAACCTCACTACCTCCCCTGGAGAAGTGCATCAGAGCCTTGAGATCTGGCCTCCTTCCCAAGTTTCATTGCCTAAAGATAGCAACTACTGGACACTCTCCTAAATTTGTTCCTTATCTACACTGCTTCATATTCATTAATGCCCAAAACATATCTGTAGGGCAAAGAAGTTGTTTTTAGATGGCCTCTAGTCCCTCTCACAAGGTGTTCTGATGGTGCAGTTGTGGTGATCGTGTCATATCCATGACTCTGGAGCACGCTCCTCCTGCTTTAGAGCAGTCCTGCAAGGCTGGAAACTGGTGCAGGGAATGCCAGTGGAAACACTGACCAAGAAAAGTCTGTAGGATGAGTTTCTTTTTGGAATATTCAGGATCTTGGTTGGATTACAATTAGAAGTATTGATAACACTAATTGCATTCAGTATTTTAAAAATCATAATATATGTTTAATATATCATAACATACCTATGTGCTTGGCCTAGATCCTGTGGCAGATTTAAGGCATGTGTCTTGCTCTGTTTGGTGGATTTAAGGCATGTGTCTTGCTCTGTTTGGTGGATTTAAGGCATGTGTCTTCCTCTGTTGAATTCTGTGTTTTGGAAGCACACCTGTGTTGATTTTGATAGGTGTCAAGAGCCACATTGTTTTCTGTAGCTTCCACAATCTGACCTGGAAGGAGTGTCCTGGAGACATTTATCTGGGCAGGCCTTCCAGAATTCAGAGGCATCTCAGGGTCTGAAAGCCAACCTTTAATCCTGAGGAGTGCTGAGTTACAGCTTGTAGGGCCAGTGAAACTCTTGTAGCTCTCAGCTGGTACTGGGATTACAGATAAAAAATGCTGAAGAGGTTTGTGAAGGGTCTGTGTGTTTATATCCACCAGTGAGACCTCAGCCTAGATTTGTTTTAAGAAGCTTCCTTTGAACCTGTTAATGGGTGCTTGTTTTTCCACCTGATGGAACTAGGATCTGTTATAGCCATAACATTTAAAAGAAGTATGCTGCAAGCCTTTATCAGTTTTTCCTAGGGAGGAAAATACCCTCAGTGCAGTCATTAAACATTTGCTGAGGGGGATAAGTGATTTACATCTCCAGGAGTGAGGTAATCCTCCAGTAATCTGTTTTTACCTTATGCAGTCACTTGACTGAAATCAAATTCCATGCGTGACAGGATGAAAATGCACCTCTAGATGTGTGATCTTCGAGAGCCACAGGGCTTTCAGGTGGATCAGTTCAGGCACTATGAAATGAAAAGCAGTGCTCCTAAAAACATTGGGTTGTATTCTGGGAAGCCCCACAGGTAGCCTTTGTCCCTCTCCCTTTTCAGGTTAAATCATAAAGGCAGAAGTAGCCCCTGACTCCATTCAGATTTAGTTGCCAGCAGTGTGGCACAGTGTAGCTACAACACACAGCTGTCCTGGTTTGGAAGATACCAGACAAGTAGCAGGAGTGCAGATTTCTCATCTGATGATGTAGCAATTGTTACGGGTTTAGAAGGTGTTGGTTCACTGCACAGCTGAGTGCTGTCTTCTCCTCAGGCCCACTTGCAGACCTGAATTTGAGGACATACCATTTCTCTGTCCTCAACTGAGAGCTGTTCAGAGCAACTGCTAGAGAAAGCCTGAGAATCAGAAGTACTCAAATTGGGTGCTTCAGCTATTCTTTCAAGTAATTCACTCTTAGCATTGCTCTGTATAAATATGCAGAGCTGTCACTGTTCCCAGGTACAGGAGAGAATTTTCATTTCTCCCACTTTCACAAGGTTTTTGTGTTGCTATTCCAAACAGCAGGAGCTTCTAAAGAGCAGGTTCTTGGTGCTCATATTCCACCTGCTAACAGTGGTAGAAACCAGGAGTGTCTCCCCTGCTTGTAGCCTGTGCTACCTTTAGTTAGGTGTGAGTGCACCCCAGGTCTCTGCAGGAAACACCCAAAGGACCCCTGTATTTGCTGTCAAATGATACATTTGGATGTTCTGTGGATGTTCTGTGTTATCTGTTGCACAATAAGCTTTATGAATAATATCTTTACTGTGTTTGCTTTAAAAAAGCTGTCTCACCAGTTACTGCAGCACCTTGGCATCAAGCAGCACTGCTGCTTGTCAGAACTGCTTGAAACAGCATCTTGCAGAATTAATTTAGGTACAGAATTTACAGTGCAATTTCTCTGTATTAAACCTATGACAACTTGAAATCGCCAACCATCAAGTCAAAAATGTTTCCCTAGTAACAGATGTAGAAGAATGGTAAAGGTGAGATGGTAATTGTCATAGGGCAACCAAAATATCTGTGCTTTAACCTCCCTGTGCCCCTGTGAAGGAGCACAGTGCTCTGCCCAGCACTGTTCAATCCCCTGTCTCTAATTGCAGGCTGAACGAGGAGCAGATTGCCACAGTGTGTGAGTCGGTGCTGCAGGCTCTGTCCTATCTCCACTCTCAGGGGGTCATTCACCGAGACATCAAGAGTGACTCCATTCTTCTGACGCTGGATGGGAGGGTGTGTTTCCTCAGACAAATTGTTTCCTGTCTTCTTCTACAGCTTCTATTTCCTTTCTGTTCCCAATCCCTTGTTTGCCCCTCATCCTCTTACTCCCTTTGTCTTCTTTGTCCGTGGTGTTGCCCTTTATGTTGTTGGAGGCTTGTTTTTAAGGTTGGTGGCTTTTCTCTTTGTACAGGTCAAACTCTCTGATTTTGGTTTCTGTGCTCAGATCAGTAAAGATGTACCTAAAAGAAAGTCCCTGGTAGGTACTCCTTATTGGATGGCTCCAGAAGTGATTGCAAGGATACCCTACACCACTGAGGTAAGGGACTACCTCCCTAATAGCAGGAGAGAGAGCAAATAATGTACGGAAGTGTCACAGGAAACTAATTATTGGCTTTTCTAGGAAGTCTCTAGATTCTATTTAAAATATAAACCCAGCTATGATTACAGCTTTGATGGCGATGACATCAATATTTCCTAAATCAGTAGAAAACCAGATTGTTCTGCTTCTATGAATGAGGCATAAACCTATTCTATTCTTACACCTAAAGCTTGGCCTAGACTTGTACCTGTTGTGAGCAGATGTGAGCAAGGAGCAGCCTGTGACATGATAGGGATCAGTAAATCGATGCCATAAAGGAAGAGGAGGAGATGTGAGCTCTGAGGGGCTCACCTCAGGGAAAGAAGACATGGCAGCTCTGGAGTTCTGGGCAGGTGGCAGCAGATTGAATGGTTTTGTTTACCAACGACCAGGTGTGGCACAAGCCGTTACTTGCACACCTGTATGTGTTGCAACACCAGTGTGGCTCAGTCCTGGGTGCAAAATTCACTTTATTAAACTTTTGCAAGAGGCCAAAGAGCATTAATGGGGGTCAGTGTTTGACTCTCTTGGTACCATTTTTCATGGGTGGGTGTTGTAGTCTTTGTGAAAGCAACAGAACAAAGCTGCTCTGGAGTTGGGTGTATTGATGTGCCACTGTCTCCCACAGGTGGATATCTGGTCCATGGGGATCATGGTGATAGAGATGGTAGATGGAGAACCCCCCTACTTCAGTGATTCTCCAGTCCAGGCAATGAAGAGACTCCGTGACAGCCCTCCTCCTAAACTGAAAAACTTCCACAGGGTGAGCATGCTGCCAAACACTTGTAAGCCTGAGGGTTATTGTGGGCAAATGTATCAGCTGTTCCCAGTACAGCTGGCTGTGGAAATGGTCTTGCTAGGGCATGTTTTCTTGGGGAACAGTTTTGGCCCCGGGGTCTTGGTGGCTGCAAGCTGCTGCTGACAGCTAGTGGCTGCTTAGGGAAACAGCCCTGGCACTGTGAGGGCACCTGGCCATGAACAGTGCAGTCAGAGCTGCTTCAGGCAGACCCTGCAGTTCTCAGCTTGCTGATGTGGGGAGAGTAGCTCATCTTCTGGAGAAGGAAACAGGAAAATCCTTGCTCTTGGGAGTTTCCAGCTTCATGGCATTCAGGACTGCACAGGCTGCACTATGGTCAGAGCAGGAGAGCTCAGGACAGACAGGAGCTTGTTTAAAAACTGCAGCAGCTCGGAACATGAACTTGGCTTCGTGGTTTCTTAAGAAAAAGCAGCAGTGATGTAAGAAATAGAGTGATCACCTTTTGGTGCCCTCTTAGAGCAATCCTTTCATTCCATGCCTGGCCTCTGAGATCAAACAGCTTCTGCAGCATCCTGAGCTACCCAGCCTTTCTAATTAATCAGAGCCTCTGCAGCTGCTCAAACTGAATTATTTAAGAGAGTAGACTGCTGAACTAACAGTGCACACTCCAGCATCAACAGCTGTTCTTTCCTCTTTGCTTTTGCAACACTAATTACAATTTCAGTCACATTCCGGACCTGGTGCTTCCCTGCCTTGGGCATCCTGGACCAAGTCACACCTTGCTTGGCCCTGCCACCAGCTGTGGATGTAATTATCAGCATTAAAATAATATATGGTGTTGCCTTTTTCAGCCTAGAAATGAAACTTAAGATGATTTTAGTATAGGAGGTAATAGAAAAGTGGGTCCTTATTGAAGCAGTCATGGAAGAATATCCACAAAAGCCCACACCCACAGTGGTGAATACAGTTTTATAGATTTTAGGAATTTAGCATAATTTATAAAAAGCACCAATTAGGAGGATGTGGTGATGTAGTTCCCCCCAGGTCAAGCCCCTTCTTTGGACCCCCCTTGCTTGGTCCCAGCTGTACTTGCTTATGAACAATATGTCTCAAACACCTTGGTTCCCAGAAAAAGCCAAGATAGGACAGGGGCCTTGTACCCACCAGGGCTTGGAGCTCTGGAATGTGTTCTTTCTAGGTGGAGAAAATGGTCGGGAAAAGAAATGGGTAAGTTACAAATACATAAAAGAAAATGGCAAGTTCATTTTTTATTCCATTTTAACAATGTAGAGGATTAAACCAGCCAGAGATAGGCAGGGTCTTGAAGTGGAAGTGGTGCCTGAGGCCGGCTACTCCCAGGCTTTTAAACCTCTTCCAAAGGACAAACCTGTGAGGTCATTCAGCTTTTTGGTGCTTATTGTGCAGCTTCTTCATCTTCTTGTACTGGTAGCATGAGGGTTTTTCAGGCTCTCAGAACCTATTGGAGAATCCTATTCCATAATCTATATTCCATAATTCTATTCCATATTACCTTTCCATAATCTGTGGGCAGTAAAATAATGGATTTATGCTCCCTTCCCACCCAAGTGACATTCCCAGGTAACAGGAATCCTGAAGGTTTAAGTAACAAAACAGGAAGCAAAAGTAACCCAGATGGAAGGACATGGCAGGCAGTCTTAGCTGGCTGTGGCTCATTTAAAAGAAAACAACCAAAGTGTTGTGCCTACAGTTATGTCTATAACATAGCATGTGATCCATGTGACATTGCTGGGAAAACAGGGATGCAGATTGGGAATGTGCAGGATCCTTTTAACCATCTTGGCAGCCTGGTGTTGCATGAGCTGTGCCTGGTCCCTTGGCAGGGTTGACTTGGTTGCTTGCTTTTTCACAGACCTCCCCAGTTCTGAGAGACTTCTTGGAAAGGATGCTGACACGGGATCCCTTGGAAAGAGCAACGGCACAGGAGCTTCTAGATCACCCCTTTTTGCTCCAGACAGGACTTCCAGAGTGCTTGGTGCCCCTTATCCAACAGTACAGGAAGCGCACCTCCACCTGCTGACTTTATGAGGGGAAGCTCTAGGGAAAAGGAATGTTTATAAAAAATATATATATATAGAAAAGATTAAGAGCCCAGGCAGTCTTGACCTGTGAATGGTGCTTGGAACTTGCCAGTGACTGTTTTGGAGGACGAATGTGAATCCTATCTGTGCATCCTCAGCCTTCTGTGGCTTCTCCTTTGCTGAAGACAATCAATACAGACTAGATCTAAGTGAGACCAAGTCTGTCTCAAGGATAAAGCGGGTATTCCATGGCTCGGGGATCACTGCTGCCAAAGGATGGCATTCGAAAGTGGAATCTGAAGTTGTGTGTCTGAATGTCTGTGAGTTTCTGCACGCCCTGGCTGCTGACTACTGAGCTGGAAAGGTATTTCCCATTTAGAAATGTGATCTTTGTTTCCTTCATTGTACACTGGAGCCGTGAGCTGACTCATTTGGGGCACAGACCCCTTTAAACTCTCAATGCACAAAGACTTGACTTTTTTTTTTTCCTCTGAGACCTTTTCACACATGATTTTAATTACCTTTGGGAAACATGGACCTAGAAACCTTCACACTCTTCCTTAGGGAACAGATGTGATATGTATATATTTGTTTCTAAGTGGCTCTCTTGCATCAACATGCTTCTCTTTTGCTGCAGAGTATGTATTTAGTGGTCAATCTTGAATCCATTTCATGTTTTTAAACTTTTGGAGAGGGGAAACCCTTGGATATAGGCCTCAAAGAGACTCCATGAAGACTAGGTGCTCTTGCCACCAGGATCTTATGGTTGAAAATTCACCATCTGCAACACCTCATGTACTGGTTGGAATGTGAACAGCGTGTTCCTCTGATTGGTTTCCAGGCACCTTGCTTTCCCAGTCCTTTCTCCCAGGAGAGGCTGAGAAATGCTGCCCTAAGGCAGCATTTTGGGTAGCATTTTGGGGATGCTGCAGGAGACTGACTGGAAAAGTTTGAGCTGTCCTGCATATCCCACGATTGATTTTTGTGTTCATGTGCTGCTGTCTGGCTATTGGTCTGCCCTTCCCCATCATCCCTTTACATCTGGAAGGTTTTYGGTTGTTGAAAGAGCTCTTTCAGTTATTTTCACATAATTTTAGGTATTTTGTATGCTGCACTCTCTGATCAGTGAGATCCTCAAGGTAATTGGACTCTACGTTGGTATTAACATTGTACAGTGATGGTGTGTGTTGTTGTGAGGTCTCAAGAATATATTCCTACATGTGGAACTGGGATCTTGTTTTGAAACTCCAGATACCAAGATATTGGAATTTAAGTTATTCTCAGGACAGTCCTGCTGTGTCTCAGAAACTGACCTCAGAACTGCATTTTCTTCAAAAGATGTTTATAACTTCTGTCCTCTGCTATTTGCTCCATATACAGATCCTGCTTCAAAATTGAAGCCACGGTTGATTACTTGAAATAATTTGGGATGGAATTCATCTGCACTGCTGCCAGCTGTCAAAGGGTGGGCACCCAGAGCATGTAGGTTCACTCTGTAGCCCACGGGAGAGGAACAACCCCCGAGGGAACAACTCTGGGGGTGGTTCATCCCTTGGCTCAGACACCTGCTGAAGGAGGAAATAGTCTCACCCCATGGCCTGCAGAGAGGTTGTATAGTCTGGATGTCTAAGTTTGGGACTGGTGGAGTTGGTTGAAATTAATTGGCTAAGCTCCTCCTTAGCTGCACTGGAAAATTTTTGATGTAAAATGTTTCTGTATTCCAGATATATTCCTTTTTTAATGCAAAAAMGCAGGGCTTGGAAAAGATTTATAATTTGAAACAAACAGTCCTGCTCGTCTGTAGTGGTGAATCCTTTGCACTTGTGTTTTAAATTAAAGTAGTTCTTGATTTATTCATAAGCCTGTTATAGTGCTGAGATGCTTAAAAATGTGTCTGTAGTTCAGAGATGGGAGTGTGAGCCTGGATTCTGGTCTGACTTTCCTGTTCTGTGGCTTCTAAAACAAGAAGAGAGTGGAGCAGGAGCCTGGATCCTAAGTCCTGAAACAAAGGTTTCCTGGAGACAGGAGTCATTTAAGTTTTAGCATTTAACACCTTTTTATACTTTAGCCCAAATCTGGCTAAAAACACAGTGAGGGAAGGCCCTGGAAAAATTGCATTCAATTATCTGATAAAATTTTAAAATCTCATTATCATATTTGTGAGGAATGCAGAAAGGATCCATCTTCCTACCCAGTGTGGAATTTAATTCCTGCTTCTTACGTTGCTCTCTTGCAGTTTATGCATGGCACAGCACCAATTAACTGCTCCATTACTTAGATGAGTGTGGAATCAAAACATAAATCCTGAGATAAACCTAGATTAGCTGAAAGATTGAAGCTCCATCTCCAGGGCCAGCAGCTCATTCCCCAGGAACAAGGCAGGAGAAGGAGGATACAGAGCAGGTTTGGAATTTGCATTGCAGTAGTGCTCAGGATTTCATGTATGCTAAGTGAGATCTGACTGTACATCAAGGTGTAACCTCTTCTCTGGTGAGCTCAGAGCCTATTCAGTGTGTTATTATGCTCAGAGATGGTGTTTTCTCTGAGTATCTTTCCTTTTCTACAAGAGTACACTTGTGTCTCAGGGTCTGCTGCTGTTCTCTGTCATGTTTTCCCTGAATCCTTCCCTTTTATTTTCCCTCCTGTCAGCTTTGCTGCTGTGGAGTCTTTTCCCTGCTGCCATAGCCCTGGCAATCAGCATCCAGGAGTCCTTTGAAGAAGGCACATGGTATTTATATGAACAATTTGCTGAATCAAACAGGGAGTCTGGCAGTGCTGTCATGTCCCAGTTACACTGGTTTATCTGTAATGGTGGCTGTCCTCCATCAGGCCTCTGATGTTGACTACAGTAGTTTATTATTCCATTTATTTTGGAACAGGACAAATCATTGTCTAGAGGCCCCTGTTTTTTAACCAGTGGCAACCAAATGACCCTGAATCAAATGAGGCTGGTGAATTTGACATTGTGGAGTCTAGTAAGACAAACCCCACCCTTCCCCTGGAGAATGGGGAGTGCCGTGGGTCCAGGGGATAAATGGGGATAACAGTGTCACAAACAGACACATGTGCTAACTGCAGCTAAGTAACAAGTGACCCCATTGTTTGAGAAAAGCAATGGTTTTTTGTTTTGTTTTTTTTTTTAGAAAATAAATAGGTCAGAAATGTACAATCCCTAATTCCAGTACTCTGGTGACAACACAGAGAGGTGTGGATTCTTGTTGGGTGTTCAGACTAGGCTTGGAATATCCTGTCTCATACCTGCTTGAGCTGGGGTTTGGTTGTTTTATAGCAGCATTTGTAACTGTTTATTAATGCAGCTTGAGGTGTAACTGTTCTCCTGTAGCATCCACAGCCTGGTGTGGTTTACTGTGATTGAGCCCCCTTTCCACCTCCACCCCACCTGTGGTGTCTCTATCAGTGTTTAGGGTTTTTKGTTTGCTTTATTGCTGTTTCATTGAACGTTGTGGAAGATGTTGGGATGAGTTGGATTGATGTGAAGGGGTGCATGTGAGGAATGATGAGGGAACTGACCCTAAAAACTGGTCTGAATGCAAAGTAAATATTCCTGTAGCTGCTGCTGTGATGCCAACAGAGAGCAGGGCTGCAGGCACAGACCCTTTCCCACTGCTGAAATGCCTCRGAGCTCAGGCTGGAGAAGACAGAGGGTGAAGTACTCTGAAGGGTGAGCTCTCCAGACTACTTCCAGATATCTGGGATACCATGGTACATTCCTGCAGGATTTCAGGAACTCCCCAGAATGGAAAGGGAGAGCAGTAGTTCGTGAAGCTGGTTGTTACTTCACCAAACACATTTTTGCAATGAGCGGTAAGGAACTCATCTCAGAATATGCTCTCTTCTATCTCCACATCCATTCCAGCTCCCAAGGTCTCAGTCATTGTCAGTGTGAGCCTGGACACCTCTGCCACTGGGATGTTTGCTTCCAATTGGTCTGGAGAGCCTTGTTCTCCCTCAGGAATGCTTTGACCTGCTTCCTTGTCAGTCTGTGGCTCTCCAGGAAAGCTGGCTCTGGTGTAGCTCCTCACTATCTCCTGAACCTCCATCTTCAGAGCTCTCAGCTTCTCCTCATATTCCATCACAACCTGCTGCTGGAGCTGCAAATGGAAAGTCAGGTCATTTCACACACTGGAACCAAGCAGAGAGACCAGGAGCTCTGGGGTGAGCTCTTGGTGCTTCTGGGTCTCTGTGGGCCCCTCATCCACTTTCTCAACCACTGGGAGTGGTTGGGCTGAGGGTGGCAATAAAGATCAATTCTCTAGGGGTTTGGACTTGTGCCAAGAACAGCCCTGAGCCTAAATGCTGTCCTCACCTGGCTTTCTCTCTCCTTGATGGATTGCAGACTTGCTGCCTGCTTCTCCTCMAGTTTCTGCTGTAACCTGCCAGTCTTCTCTGACACCTTTGAAAAGAATAAATTAACTCCCCTCAGGTTCCAGTTTTATAAGCAAAGGCTTTAGACAGCCCAGAGTCAGCCCAACAGAGCTACCTGGAGCAGCAGGCACAGCCCAGCCTCATGCYTGGATTCAGGGATACTGCAACAGCSTGGCAGGTGAGTGCACGTGGACATGGGGGACACGGGSACAGGGGCACAGACATCCATGGMCCCACAGACACCTGCACACACAGGCACACAAAAACAGACATGGGAATACATGTACTCGCACAAGGACATACACACAGACTGAGATGGACGTAGGGACCGACACATGGACATGCACACTAATGGAGACACACACAAATACATGATGAACACATGGGCAGACATGAGCACAGACTAACACAGCCACCCAGACACATGGACACAAACACACACATGGACACAAACACATACACAGGCATGCCAAGACAAACTCCCAGTCACAGGGACACACAGACACAACCACATGCACACCCTTGCACACAGGGACACACATGCACAGACTCATAAGGACACAGATATGTGCAAACAYGSACACACACATGGACTCACARGGACACACATGAACACAGAGATGGACACACAGATATGTACACAGAGACACAGACATACAGACATAGAAACATAGAGATGCATGGGCACAAAGACACATTGCCATGGACACAGACATGACCACACAGTCAGACACAGGCACAGAGAAATACAATGGACACACCCCTACACACAGGTTCACATGGCTGGACACACACACCCACACATGGACACAAATAGACACACAGACTCACACAAGAACATGGACATAGACACACACGGATGGACATGGACACACGGCCACACAGATTCACCCACCTGGACATGGACAAACACTCCCAGAAAGGGACAAACACACCTGGAAAGGGACGAACACACACACGCACACACATGGACACACACACCTGGACACAGACAAACACATGGACTCACAGATTCAGACACCCACCCACACACACATATACACACCTGGACACAGACAAACACACCCACACACCTGGATACAGACACAGATATGCAGAGGCACCTGGACAGAGACATGGACACACATGGATATTCACATGGGCACATGGACTCTAGACACAAAGACATGGACAGGCACACACAGACACTTGCAGGGGTAGGGGCCCACACACAGCTGGGCACATGGCCACACGTGGCCAGTCAGACACACACACAGCCATGGACAGATACACGGATTCACATGCTGACACAGAGACACAGGCACACACACAAGGACACTCACTGACAGAAAACACCCACACATGGACTTCACTTTGTCTGGCACTGGGTCTCCAAAGGGCAGAGCTGCAGTCCTTGAGGTGTCTCTCCTCCTGCCAGGCTTTCCCATTGTTCCTGAGCCACGGCTTCCAAATGCCCTGACCAAGTTCCCCCAACACCCTCCGCAGAACCCAGAGCTTCTGGGGGAGCCTGACCGCCCAGAACTTACCCGTTTGACTGTCTGCACCACTTCCTGAATGTGGGAGTTATTGATTTCTTTCTTCAACCTTTAAAGAGAAGTATGAAACTCTGTAAAATCCAGCTGTTCTCCTTCCATGAAACCCATTTGTCAGTACTGATCAGTGCCACACTGAGCAACAGGTGTGTTCCATCCCCACACTGTCCTGCCACAGGGAGAAGCTGCTGTAATTTTAGGAAAGGCAAATAAAACACSACTCAAATTTGACTGAGCCATAAGGCGAGTAACTGGGTGTGAAGTTCTACTTTTTCAGTTTCCAAGGCAGCAGCAGACCCTGCATCCTGCATGGACAGAGCCCAGGAACAACTCCCACACCTCTCTTGAGCAGCCTTGTCACTGGTATTCCTCAGCATGGCCTGGACCCGCTCCACTCGCTTTGCCTCCATCTGCTTCTTAATGTCTTTAATGTTTCTGTGGAGAGAAGAAAGGAGATACAGGTCTGGTTACCAGCCCCAGACACCAGAGCAGTCCAGCCACAACTCTCTGGAGCTCACTGCTGSCCAGAAACACCAAGTGTGAGACACTGCAGCAGGAGGCCTGGAGCCTTAAGGATATTTTAAGTCCTGAGTCAGGACGTGTGCCCCAACAGCACATGCTAAAGGCAGAAAGAACCAATGTAAAGGAAATTCCTCCTCCACCTTCCCAGTTTCCAATCTATCCTCCAGTGTCTATGCATGTATTGTGTCCAGTGATGCCACTCATACTTTGGAGTTTACCTCTACTTTTGGATTTCAYAGCTCCTTGCCCTGAGAGAAACACTACTGAATTCATACACAGTGTGACAGAGGGACCCAAGACATTCACTGTGTGTCCCACACTTCTTTCCTATGAGAAACAGTGAGCAATCACTTCCCTCTTCTCTTCCAGACCATTCATGATTTACACATTCCTGTCACATTCCCTCAAACATCTGTTCCASCAGTCCCATTTAATTCCTTTTTGAGCACAAATTCCTCCTCAGTGCTGGCTGTTCTTCTTGCTCTTTCAAAGACTTCKTTGTTTGAGATGACACATTGAGAAGGGGACAGTTCTATGCAGACAGATCCAGTGGCATAAGGCTGACTCACTCTCTTTTTTTTGCCCATACAATTCCCAAAATCCTGTTTGCCACTTTGGCCACAGCAGAGCTGGGAATGAAGAGCATCCACAGCAGCTGAAGATCTCTTGCCTGAGTGTTAACTGGGGCACAGCTGGGCTAGGGCCGGGGTTTTCCACTCAGATTTTTTTATATTTATTCCTGTTAAACTGAACTGCCATTTCATTGTCTGTTGCACCAGCTCTTGAAATYCTTCTGGAGCTTCTCCCAGCCAGCTGCAGATGTGACTGTACTAATGCCATCCTACTGTCAGCAAACTATTACCTGGCTACTCACCTGTTTCCTTAGACTTGTCTGAATATGCTGAATAGCTGAGAAAAGAGACTCTGGCTTGGGATAGGGTGCAAAAAGAGGGAGTTTTATCCGATCTTGAAGCTAAAGTCTGAGAGAGGAGTTAGTAAGGAGGAGAAACGAATGAGGATTTTAGCTTCAGGACAAAGTTCTTGAAAGAACACATGGATACATGGCTAGAAACTGGTCAGTTGATTCTGCCAGCTTGTTTAAATACTGGAGCCAAGGACCAGCATTGCTATTTCTTATCCTTCCCCCTGTGCCACATCCCYCTGCCTCAATTTCTCACCAAAGGAAAAGAAAGGCTTCTCTTCCCCATCCTCACTCCCTGGCTGCAGAGCAGAGCTTTGAGATCCAGCAGGAAGTACTGGCCTGGAGCAGAACTGGGCATTATTTGTGATTCCACTACTGTATTTACCTTTCCGACGTCTCCCTCAGCGCCCACAGCTCAGCTGCCTGCTTCTCCCTGGCCAGCTCCAGGATCCTGGCAACTTGCTGCTCCAGGGATGAACACAAGARCAAAAGGGAACAAACCAGGATGAGAATCTGCACCCCATCTGTATCCAACTACACCCAAGTCAGCTGTACAGCTCCATGCATTGAATTCCAGGAGCCACACATTCCAAATCCACGAGGCTCRGTGCAAACACTGGCACAGCAGTGAGCTCAGCTGTGCTCACAGGCCCCACTGTGCCAGTGGACTGACCCTTGTGGGACAGGAAGGTTCCATCCCTGGTTCCTCTCCCAGGTAAGAAGCCTGATTTCCCAGGTAAGCCAGTGCCCAAGTGCCCTGTTATTTTCAGCTCAGGGTTGCACACATCTTGCAAGGGCCTTGCCAAGCCTAYGTGCACCAGGGAACTGAAGATTTAAGATATACAGTGCAAATTCCTTTGGAAAATACTAATAGGAAAAGATCTCCAAAGCCTGGAATCACTCCCCTTTCACTGGAACAGACAGCACATGCTGGATTTACCACCACCATCCCATGACTTGCAGTCTGTTCCCGGGCACCACCGTGGCTCCTGATGGCCTTGGCTGAGCTCAGCCTGCAGGACTCCCCTCACCTGGACTCTGGCTTTGACTTCCACCAARTCAAACAGCAGAACACATGCTCTGATGGTGCCACTGGTGACCCCTCAGCCCAYGTCCATGTCACCCCAGCTCTCAGGGTTCCCAGGCTCCTGGAGAGGTGGCACCTGGTAAGGTGTGAGGCCACTAAACACCACATTAACTCTGAACTAAGCCATCAGAAGAATTGGAGCAGGTGGAGCCTGATGTGCTCCAGGGCAATGCTTCTCTTTTTTTAAAACATAGCAGACATATAAAAATGTTTCAGCAGGATTTTTCAGGCTCCTAAGAAATTTCATGTCTTCATTCTCAGTTACCTGACGTGGACCTGGCGTCAGGTGTGTTCAGGGGCCACATTCCCAAGCTCAGTTTGGACTGAGCATTTTTGGGCTGCGCTAAGATATGTTTTCATGTGACACTTGCAGCCCTCACCTCGGTGGTGTGCTGCTCTTTCTTCCTTCGGATCCGATTGTGGTGCTCCTCCCCAAGGCAGGTGAGGTCCAGCTCCAGCCTCTCCCTGAGCTCCATGAGCCGGTAGCAATCGATGTTCTCTGCCACTTGCACGGGATTTGCACAGGTACCAACGTCAGCTGGGGTCCCACTCCTGCAGAACAGAATCAGGGCTGTGCTGCTTCTCRCCACAGCAACACAATCCCAACCTTSCACCCACCCTCAGAGGGAACAAGCCAGGGATGTGCAGATGCCTGCACTGCTCCATGTTCAGGGAAGGGGAGCCCGTGTTCCTCAGGGATCCTTGTTTTGCTTTGGGAAGGTGACCCCCAGGCTGTGTTTACCTCTTCTTCTGGGTTTTCCTTGTGTGTAGCATCCTTTTCTTGCCCCCAGAGCAGGCCAGCTCCGAAAAGAGCACAGAGTATTTCTGCAGCAGCTCCTCCCTTCGTTTGCTTCCCTTCCGCTCCAGCTCCCTCACCTCCTTCTCCTGCCTCTTCAGCAGCTTCAGGAAGCGTTTCATCTGCTGCAGCTCAGCAAGGCCGATTGTCTCAGGCTCTGAAATACAAAATAAAAAGGCTGAGCAGAGCCAGCTCCTTCCCAAGGCTAGCAGTGGGGAAACTGAAGCATGTCCCTCAGTTACCACATCCAAAGCAGAGCTCCTTCTGCCCCACACCATGGATACCTCTCCCCAGGTACATATCTCACCCTGCTGAACACTTCTCTTTAGGAATTACTTCTAAAAACAAAWAATGTACATAACAGTACTTGCCTTGCTGAAGGAAGCCTGTCCTTGAACCCCAAGATTCCTGGGACTTGTCTTTCATACTGGCTACACCAGGCAGGGTTGGGGCAGTTCTTTTTAATCTGGGAATGTAAGCCCAGGTGACCAGCATGAGTTACCTGCCATCTGCATCACTTCTAGCACAGCTTCATCCTTGGTGAACACAGCTGCTCCTGAAAACCCAAAAGAGGATCCTGTTAATGTCCCATCTTGGATGTCCAGGTTGGAATTGGACAGTGGAGAGCTCACCAGAACACAGGCCATGTGACGGATGTTGGTGCCAGTACAGAGGAATTGATTAAGCTGCCAAGATGCCTAAATTCTAGGAAACTCTTGGAAACTTACCTGTGGACCCATTGGAGGGAAGAATGCTGGGTTTCCCAGKGGAGTCTGCCACCCCGTTAGTCTCAGCAGCTGGGACGTTTGTCTGTGTGCCAGGCTTCTAAAACAAAGATCAGAGGTAAATGAAAACTCCRTTATTTCAGGCTGAATCCATGCAAGGTGCTTTAGAGAACAGAAAAACTCACCTCTCCTGAGGAATCCTTGAGCTTCATCAAGCGCTTGTCCTGCAGGTTGAAGAACTTGATGGGGTTGGAGAGGGCAATTGTGAGATCTGGTAACAGAGGGGAAGGCTTGGCTTGGATAGCAAACAAGTCATGGACTCATTTTCCATGCCCTGCACAGGACACTGTGAAGAAGGAATGATTTGTGTTCCGTGCCCTGACAGCACAAGGGAGGGAAGAAGGGAATCTCCTTCACCTCAGTCCCTGCCCAAGGCCATGGCTCACAAGTGATGTTAAGGACAGCTTTGTGAAGTGATTTTGGGAACTCTGCTCCCAAAATCCAGAGCCAGGTAAAGACTTTTCTCACCTGCACAGCTCCCTAATCCAATTCCAGTCCAATGCTGTATAAACCACATCTTTTTATACAAATGTGATAAACAGATCAATTTCTCAGGATTTCCCCAGTAATTAAGGTTCACTTCTATGAACATGGGAGGAGAAAGCAGACATAAGAAGTATTTACGAGAGCTCCTGTGGCTGATGCTGTTGCATTTGTGGCTTTGGTCATAACTGTTGATCCCTCCAGTGAGGCTTCTGTCTTGTCCAGCTCTGACCCTTCTCAAAGGAAGGTCCCCATATCTCAGTAYCAGCAAGAACCTCCCTTCTTTTCCAACAGGGAAGAGCATCACTCCCTAAAACCTCCRTAAAACCCCTGTTCTCCTCAGCCCGAGAGCTGTCACCTATTCCCTCAAGGAACAGGTGAGCCSTTGCACACTGGAGCCTGGTAGCCCTGCCCTGCAGCGCCACTGGGAGCCAGGCACAGCTGCAATGGAGCCTCCATGCTCCTCCCAAGGCAGCCACRCTGGGACAGGATGCTGGCACATGCTCAAGTCCCACCCTGACATGGAATTGAGGGTGCAGCAGGAAGGCACTCCCCAGGCTGGAAAAACACTTCTGAATCAGAGTTTGGATGAGACCAGAAGCAACCCCCCCCGTGCATTCCAGCACTCCCCACCTGCCCAAGCATCCGGCACGTAGTCCTTGATCTCCAGGAACACGAAGAGGGCRGGCAGGGTGAGTGGCATGTTGCTCTCGCTGCGCAGGCACACGTGGTGGTAGCCTGGAACAGRGAGGGGAGGCAGCTGAGCTGGCAGAGTCCTGTCCCTGTGCTCCAGCAGCCAAAGGCCCTCTTTACAGGAGGGYGTGGTGAGTGTGTCATGGGATAAAGCCAAGTCTATAACAAGATGGCTTTGAAGGTTCCCCAGCCTGCAGGCTGGAGATTAAGGAGCCAARTATGCAGCTGTTTGTATCTTCTTTATGGCTCTCACTGGACAGGTCTCAAGGGCACAAAAGCTGAAGGAATTTCCACACATTTACCTGGGTGCAGTGCGGTGATGGGAATGATACGATGGCCAATGAACTTCCCTCCTTCTTCCCAAGCCACAATTTTGAGAGAYGCCAACTCAGGCATCATGATCTAAGGGAAAAGCAGAGTAAGGCACCAGTGTCCTTACCTCTACCCCCTGATAGCAGCAGCATCCTCCTCCTTCCAACCAATTCCATCTCTTCAAGGATACCACTGCCTAATGCTGCATCTTGTAATTTAAGGGCACAGGTTATCATAGAGAGCTGAATTCCCAGAAACTCCACCAAACGCAGGCTTCTCAGCCTGCCCAGGATCCTAGGGRTTACCTAAAGACAAAAATAGGGCAACAAACCCTCTGAACCATTGCTTCCAGGAAGAAACTCACTGGAAATTGGAATGAACTGGAACATTGCTATAAGGGCTTTTGACTTCCTCCTTCTCTATTTTCTTGTACCACAAAGTGAACTCAAAATTATTCTGCCAGGAGTGAAGCCTCAGACTGTTTCTGAAAGGAACATATTTCAGCTAAGTGGGCTGAAAATATCTGTAGTTTCATACTGTGCCTGACAKATCAATTGTGTAACATGTACTTGACTCAACTTCTGTGTGCCCTGCAGCTGGATTGGTGATCACTGAATTCTTGAGGAGAGACAGGGCAGCTCTCCATGTTCTGGCACAATTGAAAACTGGTGACATTACTGCTCCAGTATGGCTGTTTTTCACTGACAGTTTAACCACAGCCATCCAGTTCCTTTCTGCTTTCTGGTGCTGGAAGTTTTCCAAACTGATCAGTCACTTCGGTCTGAAGAGGGCATCCCAGAGGGGAGACTCTGGATGCCTGCTATTTGCAGAACCAGTCCCAGCTACCCCTTGTCTGTTCTGGGAAATATTAATGGAGAGTTGTTTTGGATATTGTTGTTTGGATTGTTTTATTGTTACCTGAGTGTGCCCAAACCCGGGCCTGATGTCTCCAGAGGGGGGTCCCTTCTGCTGCCACTGACCTCTCTCGAGGCAGTGCTCGTGGCCAACAGGAGCTTTAAGGGTTCTCTGTCTAAAATAGTATCAAATGTTCTCACCTTTTCAAAAACAAAAGCCTCCTCTTTCCACACRGGGTTAATGGAGTTGGCTGTGGAGGTCAGTTTGGTTCTGTGTTTGCGTTTGGCATCCCTTGGCAGCCCAAGGAGCTCCACTTCCACGTAGGTCTTCACGCTGCGGTCCGAGAGGAACTGACCCGACAGCACCTGTGAACAACACAAACAGAGGTACAGCTGTTGGCAAGAATAAAACAGRAGGACACACCCATTCCTTCACCCCAGAGTCACTCTCCCACCCAACAACTGCTTTTCTACTCCAGCTCTTTTATCTCCATGTCTATGTTTTGCCTCAGCGCTTCCTCCCTCCCCGCCAGCACAGCCTTGGCTGCCTCTGCACGGCAGATGCTCATTTTCCATTTTCATGTGATTATGATTAATTTAAAATAGCGACAAGCCTGGGAGTTGCCACAGTAACGCCTTCCCCCAGGACTCCATGGGTTCACGTGCCACTGAGTCCCCAGGCTGTACTTGCCGTGACAGAGACAGTAGTGGCCACCAGCCCGTCAATGTGGTCCACAGAGAAGGGGTCAAACCGCTTGTCGGGGCGCCGCATGAACTCGTGCTTGAGCAGGTACCCACACTGCCCATTGAACTCGAACAGGGCCATGTTCTGCTGCATGGGGACATCTGGGAGCAGAGCAACACAGTGAGATGGGGCTGGGGGGACAGGCAGCCTGTGTGCTCTGAGGGAGCTGAAAGCTGCCAGAGGCTTCCAGCCCCTGCCAGCTCACAAAGCCATCTTGAAAAATAATTAAGCCTCTCACAGCACCCTACAGGGAAAAATATTACAGTAGCTGTTGTAAGGAAGGGAAGTGGTTTGCTTGCACTTGCACCTTAAGTCACAGGTAGAACTAAATTAAAATCAACTTAAAGGAGCGCCCACTATTTTKGGGTGCCTGAGCTCCTCTGCTCCTTCTCCCTTTCATTTTGGGCCTCCTCTGAGTCCATCTTCCTGTCTGACACTTCTGAGGACACTACCCAGTGTCATCCTCTTAAGAATCAACCTCGCACTTGCTCCCTTTTGCCTCCTACACTCTACACCTAACACAGCTCTCTGAGGAAGGAAGAAGGGTAAGGAATAGCTTTCTCTCAAGGCTTTTATTTCTTTCTGCTGGTTGTGCAGCAAGGAAAGGCCCTTCCTCCCTGTTCAGGTCAAAATCCTGGAAATAATGGCACAGACAGATCAGTGCTGTGGCCAGATGGAGCTGTGCCTCTGTCTTGTAAAGAGCTAGCAACTCGGGGGAGGCCAGCTGCAGGTGCCCTCATGGATGTGATTCAGTGTGACATCATGGAATGGGACAGCCAGGGACAGTGCCCGGACACGGGGTGACAGCAATCCACATGTGTGTGTGCCAGGTCTGTGCTGGGCATGGAAAAGGGCTGTTGGTCTGTGGGAGATCAAGTCAGAAGAAAACAGCACTTTGGGAAAAGGCACTTGGGATAATGCACCAGGGAAATGGCAGCAAAGGAAGAAATAGGGACCAGAGCACCTGACCTCAAGCCGCTTAGAGGCTGCAGGACGTCTGACACTCACCCATGGTCTGGAAGTTGAGTGCCACCATCTGACAGCCAACATTCCAGAACATCTGGGGCTGGTAGTTGGAGGAGTCCATCCGGGTGCCTTTGGGGTAAATGCGGCTCATCTGCCGTTTGTTGTACCTACAGGCTCTATAGGAAACAAGTCAGAAGCACTCCTATTGTGCCTGGGCCAGTGCACACATTCCCGTTGTACAAACTGTCAGAGCTCTGCTACCAAATTCTCAGAGCCTTCCAGACAAGACCTCAGAGAGGCCCAGGCTGCTTTTCCATATACTTTCYACTTAAGGACAAGCATCTGGCAGCCTTGGCTACAGCAGGATGCATCCTGTCAAGAATCTCCCTCACACTCCAAGCACCCGATGGCTGCCAAAAGGATACTGTACAAACTGCACGGGGAACTTGCTCAGTAGATCGCAAGCCTTCGTCTCAGTGAAGGAAGAGATGACGTAACTGCGGTTCTTCTCTACAAACAGGAGATGATAAAGCATTCAGGAGCAGGGCACGCCCCATCCCTGTTCTGCCCATGGACCCAGGAAGCACTGGGCCTGGATTCCAAAGGGACTGAGCCTGACTTACTGGCAGAGACCTCGAAGCAGTCAAACTTGATGGGCTGGATGTAGTTAACCAGGCTGGACATCTCCTCGTACGCCGTCACTTCCAGGCCAGCTGTGCCCTGAGCAGAGAAAAAGCCAAAAGGAAACAGATGAAGAGATCTTCCCTAGAGATGAAACAAACTGCACCAGGGCTTCCCAGTCAAAGAGCTCTGTCAGTGTGGCTGCCCTGACCACAGTGCTCTAGTTTCTCTGGCTTCCCAGTCCTACAGCTCCAGGGTGGGCAGGGACACAATCTCCAGGTGGCTGAGCAAAAATGGAACCAAGGCACATGTAGAGGTTCCAGTAAAGATGTAAGAAGTTCAGGATCTCTTTGACACCTCAGAACATGAAATCTGGGACAAATGGGATATTGTATTTCCTCCTCTCAGAAGGCTACCAGGGAGATGGAAATGGGAAACAGACTTTTTATTCAAGGGAATGCTCATCTCCTCCCTCTCCCTTYAGCAGTGKCACTTTCAGTAACAACTTCTCAAACCAAGGCTAAGCCTCTCCAACACCCCCAAGGCAAACAGTTATCTCCAAATCATGTAGTGTCAGCAGTAACTCCCCTACCACATTCGCTGTGCCTGCAACAGTATTTCTCTTCTTCAGTTTCTCCTGCAAAGTCTTATTGYGTGGGGGATGGAAAGCCCCCAACAGCTTCATTCTCCTTTCCATTTTGGGTTCATCTCTATTCAATAGAGTGAGGCCCCAGAGAAAAATGGAAGCCAGCAAAAATTGAAACAGAAAGAGAACCAACAGTGACAGTACCTCATCTGACTGCATTTTCTTAATTTCCTCTTCATCCAGGTTTCTGAGCTGTTCRTCCTCTTCCTCTGGCTCCTCTTCAGCCACATCACCTGCCCAGACTAAGCACACAGGCCCTCATCRGTAATACAGATCAGCAGGACACAGATAGGGCCCTGCAGGATGCTGGCAGTGGAGGACTCTGCCAAACCTCCCCACTACGTAATGCTGCAGCACTGAGGGGGAGAATCCTACAATTTTATTGGCCAAATCCAAATATGAACTGGTACACTGAGGGCCAGCACACCTAGGACACCAAACCATTCCTGCTGCAGGCTGCCCTCACACGCAGGAGTCACAATCACTGGGCTGTTTGCCCACCAAAGTCACACATATTTGTAGGAATAAATGTCCATTTCCAGGTGTTCTGCAGTGGTGCTCACCTTGTCCTYGTATGACATCATGTGCTCCTACCATGACAGGGAGTGTTTTACCACAGGGGCCATGAGCCCAAGAGGTGTCAGGAAGAGAGGAGAGAGGGACTGAAGTTCTTTTGAACTTCCTGGACCTCAGAGGGAAGAACTAGGCTGATTTGTGGTGGATTTGTGGTTATCAGAGTGCTACAGGCAGTAATAAATTACTCCCCTTCCCAAAACCCAGCATGGATCAGTGGATCACTGATGGATGACGGGCAGGGTGTAAATGATTGTCTCTTTTGGTTGGACCAATTGTTCAAAGCATTTCGAAGATTTAATTTCTCTTCCAATTTTATGCTGCTGCTTGGGATAACTGATTTAATGACTAGTGATGGTTGCTCCATGCTTGTATTGGGTGATTTGGAAGGCTTTGCCCAGCCAGTTTTGTTAGTTCCACTTCCCTTCAGACATACCAGTATCCTCAGCATCCACAGAGTTTGGCTGCTCTAGGGTTTCTGGTTCCATGTTTCTCCCTTTCTTCAAAGAATTCTGCCTCTTCCCAGACAAAGATTGGTTCTTTTTGTTTTTAATCAAGATTTTCCTTAAGAGATCCTTAGGACTTGGCAGAGGAACTCCTGGCTTCAGCTGCAACAGATAAACTTCATCAGAGAGAATTCAAACACATCTGTGTCCCTGGCCAATTCCCAGWGCACAGACACACCTCTCACCCACTGTACACCTAATCTCCTTCTTTTGCCAGCATATCCCACTAGATCAATGCTGATTTTTCCTACCAYTTCAGCTGTGGTTTGAGACCAGCATTTTGCACCTCTCAGGGTCTGCCATGCTGCCTGCTAAAAACACCTACATTGCCTGAAGGCATCCGCATACCTCTGGCTTCACATTCCACCTACTTCTCTCATTATCCCACATCCTCAGTCCTTCATCAGCACTTGGGCCCGATTTAAACACTGCCTGCAGCAGATTTAAAAAAGATCCCAGAGGAGGTGGCTCAAGACAAGGACATGTGACAGACTGCACAGACAGCAAAGGCCTGTTAATAACTTAGCTTATCCCTTGAAATGTTCCCCACCTCGCCCCTCTGTGCCTATTGCCTGGACATGGGGCTGGAMAGTGGGCAGCTGCTCCTGTTCTAGCAGTTCACTACTTCTTTCCAGCTCTTCTTTAGGTCTCAGTGCTTTCAAACAGGTGCTTGGGGCAGGTGCCTCAGCTGCCTCTCTACGCACTCCAGGGACCTGCCTTGTGCCCTGCAGAACACAGCCCCTACCCAGATGTTTAAAACTGTGTCCTCTGGCAGGGCAGCCATGGCACTAACGTGCCCAGGGAGCAACAAGGGTGTCACAGAAATACCTGTTGTACAGGTAAGATGAAGACTGGGGGCAAGGAGGTGGAGAGCTTTCCTCAGTTATTCCAAGCACATGGCASTGACCTTCCCATCTATGCCTGGAAGGGAATATTTCCAGGCTAGAAGCAGGATTAGGCCCTTGCTCCTGTTTCCAAATGCTGTGTACAGAACACAGCTGCTACCCCTGGTACTACTCGACCACCCAGAGCTCAGTGCCCAGAGTCCCTCAGGTCAGAGAGTGTTAAACAAGAAAACCTCTGTAAGAATCTTCCCCCAGCCCTATGAACCAGGATCCATATCCATGTCATTGTGTCTGTAGTGGCACCTCCCAGAACCAGCAGTTGACCAAGTTTTCTGGAAAGGCCTCCCCCGTGGCCTCCTGCCCCTGCTCCCACGTACTGGGTATTTCTCCAGCGGCTCTGTCAGCAGCATGTCTCCAAAAATGGTTCGGCAGTACTCAGCCATCTTTGCCTGCTGCTTGGGCCTAAGAGAGATCAGGCAGGAGTGAAGAGGAAAGCAAATGCCCAAATCCACAGTTTGGCATGAACAATCACTTTGAGATGCATGTCCTCTACCCAGAAAACTATCTGTTGCCTTCATCCAGCTGTGCAGGTGTTGAGGTCCCGTTCCCATGTTCATACTCTGCAAGCCCAATGTAAAAGGCTGCACAATTGTGATCACTCCACTCTGCAGTTTAAGGCTCRTCCTTCAGCTCTGACCCACCTCCAGTTGCTTCAGAAACCTCAATTAATGCTTCAATTCAGCTYAGCACTCACGTAAAACCCAGCAGGCCTTGCTTCTGTATTTTCTGCTCTGGACACAGCAGACAATTCTCCCAACCACCAAATACTCACGAGTCCACGTGGTTCTCAAAGGACAGGATCACAGGGTATGGAGATGTTTTAAAAGCACTTTCTGCAATGGCCTCGATAGCATCCTGAAGGAGAAGCCATGGTCAGAGAGAAGCTCAGCACTCATTAGTAACACACAGCTGACTTCCCACTGAACAGACTCCAAAATTCTCTCTCAGGAGTTCCTGTTCAAAGTCACTAAACTTCTCCCAGTAAGAAGGTGACTAGTGTCACCTTTTTCACACCTGCCCAGATATCCAGCTGCAGAGAATTCAGCTGAACTAAACTCAACAGCTTGCACCAAGATGAAGCTGAACATGCAAGAAGTTGAGGTTTTGCTGCACAGGTCAGTGCATGTGAGACCGTCTGGCCAGAGGGACAAACTTGTCCCCCAARCACCTTGAACTGGCTCAGAAAGATGTGTGCAACACCAGATGAAATCGCTGCAAACTCTATCCATACCTATCTCTGAACCTGCCCAATTTTCTATCATTTCTGCTGCTTATAAAATCATTTTGCCTTGCAGCAGAGAGAGCTGGAGTGTTCACTCACCAGCTGTGCTGACATTTCAAATGCAAATACCATGGAAACCTTCTCAGCATTAATGATGTAAGAAAAAAAATAATATTTTCCCCAAGCTCCTGTTAAACTGACACAAACTTTCCACTATTTTCCCTTCTGGTGCTGCTAATTGGTAAAGAAGTGCCATTTGCTCCTTTGCAATTAGAGTCCCCTGATCATCTGAAATGCTGGATCAGCCATGACCTCAGCACGGAGGGAGGCTGCCACAGCTGCTCCTCCATGGACCACTGGGAGTCTCTCACAGAAGCCTCAAGGCTCTGAGGAGAAGTCTTAGATAATGCTACTGAAAGGCCATAGGAATTGTAGTGGAAGGAAGGACTATGTAAAACCAAAACCCAGCACACGCTGTGTTAGCAGGTTATAATTTCCTTGAGGAATGGACCCAGGCTTCAGCAGAACTCTGCAATTACAGCAGCTACAAATGCCATTATTTCTGTTCTTTCTGCAGTGAACTGCTGTGCAAAAAGCAGCAGTGATACCACAGGGCTTTGGAAATTAGTGAKTCTGAGGATGACAATACCTCTGATCTTAAGGATTGGTTCGGTTGATTGTTTTTTCTTCCCCACATAAATATTTTAGTAATAATGAAGCGTGGGAACCAGAGGGAAGATACAGAAGAAAAATAAAGAGCTGTAAAAAACAATATAAAGCACCTCTACCTGAGGTAGCAGCAGCTGTATAAAGGAGTGYAGAAAAGAAACCAGTGTGATGCCTTTATTTGTAACCTGCAAGCTGTGGATGAATGCCCTGTACTGCCTGGCTTTATGCTGTGCTGCTGAAGCCTGGGACCTGAATCCTCAGGAAAGCCAGCTGCTCCACAGAACACATTCCAACACTCAGGTCATTAGGAAGGAATTGAACCCTATTCTTCCAAAAGCCKCCACTCAAGGCTGTCAACCATAGAAACCTGCTGCAGACCAGAAGATAAACTTGTTTTAACTGTGTGTTTTCTAAAAGCCATCCCCTGTTTGCTCCTCTGCCATGCCTCTACCATAAATCCACCAGCATCACACCACGTCCCGTCTAGCCATCCTGAGACACAGCCCTTTGTACACAGACACATCTGGTCAGCCATCTTTCCATGGCTTCTGCCTGACTTCCCACATTTCCCTCATTAATTCATTCATCCATCTTCATCCAGCTATCAACCCCTCTGCTGCTCCTCCCRTTCCAAAAATGTACAGACTCCAGCCTAGAGCTTATCTGTTCACTTTTCCTTCTACCCACACATTCATTGTCACCTCACCATCAATCTTTTCTCAAATGTCTTTGCCCTCAGCCCATCCCTGTGGCTCCCTCAGCAATAAGTGTGAAAGCAGGCAGGGGAAAACGTCCATGGAGAAAGCTCTTCCCTACCTTGAAGAGGATCTCAGTTGTCATGGTGAAGCCGTGGGTGATGATGGGCTCCTCGTCCGGGGGCCGGCCCTTCCAGCAGTCCAGCTCCACGCAGCGGCAGCCAGCCAGCAGCGTCTGGCGGTACATTTCAGGAGAGGACATCCCAGAAAACTGCCCAGCTGCAGGAGAGAGGCTCAGCATTAGCTACTCACATGGGACAGCTCCTGCACAAACAGGAGCAGCAGGACTCTCTGCCAGCCTTCARCATGTGGGCACAGCAGACTGACAAGGTATTTTCAGTTACAGGGTGACACTGCTTCCTGTCACACAGCATTTGGAGCCAGCCCAGYCCTCAAAACCCCCAGGGCACACACACCTGCCTGGCTGACAGGGTCCCTGGGGTGGCACCATACCTGTCAGATAGGTGTTGTGTGARGAATTGATGTAGTAGTGCGAGAGCGGCTGGGTCATGTCTTGGTACAGCATCAGCTTGTCCAGCACTATCAGGTTGTTCTCGGGGCCACAGAGGAGCCAGACCATCCCCTCCGGAGACAGCTGCCCTGCATGGCAAACAGAGCTCTTGACAGTSCCCTAACAGAATGGCCCTGGAGCCTCTTTGGAAGGGCATTGCAACACAGGCAGTTGTAGGAAGCAGGCTGCTTGCTCCCCTGGGAAGCAGGATGGCAGAAGGCATGAGATCTTCTGTTCTTTCATCCCGCCTCTATAGCAAAAGCTTAGAGCTGAACAAGACTCACCTCTCTGGATGTTAAACCCGCTGGGCTCATACTTCTCTATCAGGCTCTGCACTTGCTCAGGTTTGGCTGGTGGGAAGAGGATGTCATTGAGGCGGGTGTCGCGCTGCTTCTTRTTGATGAACTTTGCCAAGTGCTCTTTGGTCATGTAGGGCTTTGCTTTTAGATGGCTGCAGTGAGAGAATCACAGAGAGGCAGAGGTAAGGCCTGGGAATTACCCGGGAAATTTTTTCACACAGGAGAGGTTGATCCCTTCCTCAGGTGCCTCCTTGGGCCCATATATTTCAGGGCCCTGCAGCGCAGTGAGGTATCATGCTGTCTTATTCAGGCTGTGAGTGAAAGCATTAAGTGACCTGAGATCCTGCCCTTCTAAGGCTTAAGGCCAGAGAAAGCACACAGCATTAAATCCCCTCCTTTCGGTCTATCTTTTGCCACAGGAGATCAGGTTCTGGGCTGTGGCTTGAGGGAAACTTACTGTGAGGTAAATATCTCATCAATCTCGGGCCGTGGACACAGATTCATGAGAAACGTCTTGTACACAGGCTCGGGGAAGTCCTCAGGGTTGATGGCATCATTCTGAGAACACAATAAAGATGTGTCAGGACCACAAACCCATGAGAGATCTCACCTCTCACTGAACACCCACTTGGCTGTGACAACCCCAGTAAGKGACTGGAACATCTGGCTGGGTATTACTGTCCTTGTGCCACACAGTGCAAGCGCTGCAGTCACAAGTGTTACTGGAAGATAGAACTRATCCCAGCAGGCTGGACACAGGCCTGGCAGTGGTAAGGTAAAGGGAAGGGGAAGGGGAGCAGCAACAAGCATCTCAGCTGAGAGTTTTTCAGGGCATTCCAGTCAGGGCAGGGAAAATGATCCTTCTCAAGCTCCTAAGACTTCTGATTATCCAAAGAAACTCTTACCTTGCCATTTGGCAGATGACAAGCGCTTAATGCTTCTTCCACCCTCTTCCTGTCTGCAGGGAACATCTGAAAAATACTGCCCAGATGGGCAAACAAACATCACCATGGAGCAGGGGAGAGGTCAGGAGGGCTGGAGCTGCAGGCAGTGCAGGACACTCCAAATGCCCAGTGAGGGAGACAGGCAAGACAACTGTAAACATAAACGGCAAAGACACACAGCATTTCTCCAGGGGAGTAACTGAAAGACCGATTTTGATTATCTACAAAGGATTTTTCAATTGCTGATTTAAAGCAGAAGTTCTTTATTTCTGCTGTGGAGTCTGTAAGAGCCCTGTCACTCAAAATCCCCCTTCCTTGTCCCTCTTGGAGGTGTACCCTATGGCACTGTGGAGAAGTAACAATTGAATTTTCCCTCCTTTCAAAACATTCCTGTCAGCAGCACCAGGSTCTCCTCCATGGACAAATCCAGCCTCATCTCTGTTAATCTCCTGGAGTCACAGGTGCTCACAGCAAGCAGGGGAACAAGGAGTGTCCTGGGCTGCCAGGTGGAGTGCCTGGCAGGGCAGCTGCAGCAGCTCATGCAAACCCTATGTCTACAGCTGCCCTTTGCAAGGCAAACTGCARTACCCTTGGTATGATTCCAAAGGGATTTACATATTTAAAGGGAAAGGCAAACGCTTGTAGAATTTTCAGGAGTTTTGAAAGCCTTACATTTACCTACACCTGGAGATAATGAGTATTTTTATAAACCTGGTTCTTAATCTGGACTATTTCATGGTCTGAATTTTCACCATTCTGCAGGAAATGGGCACTGAGGAGAGGTACAGCCTGTATCAGATATTTTTTTTTTAGCTTCTATCAGAGGACTAAGCTGTTTTTTCCCTGCAGGAATGCTACCTTGCTTGCATTTTAAAGATGAATGCAAAGCACTCTTCCCTAGTGTGTTATTCATTACGGACCTACACATTTTTAACAGCCCTTTGATGAATACTCTGGTTTCTGACAATGAAATTCWGCTGGTTGGTGGTTTAGAAAACAAATAACAAAAAATGTTTAGTGTTGAATAAAGCTSGGCCCTCCAGGAGCCCATTTAGTCAGCACAGCCCTAATCCAACACTTTTCTTGCATACAACCCACCCTGGGGCYTGTGTTTATTTGGGGTGATTAGTGCTCACCTGTTGTGATGCTGTAACACAGCACAGACCTAAAGCAGAGTTCMGAACTCCCCAAATGAACTGTCTGCAGCTCCTTATTCTTAAAACAAAAGGTAATTTAGGAACCCAAAAGGGAATTCAACATGGCAATGCCTCCTTTTGTCATTCTTCTATGAGCTAAATCAATGCAGAGGAACCACAGGGACAGCCCTGGAGCGATTTTACTTGGGAAGACAGTGACTGGCACAAAATCAATTCCAGATTCATGCCACATGGTGGAGGAGAGAAGGGACAGCCAGGGCTTTGCTTCCCATTCTAACGGGAGCCCTACCTAATGCAGAAGGCTAAGCTGGGAAGGACAAATTTCTGTCCCCTTATTCTACCCCTTAACCAGCATTAACACTGGCCYAGAGGCTTCTTCAGTCTCATGCACACCCAGACTGAAGGCTGAGAGATGGAGAAGTGGGGAAGGGCTGGAGTGGTCACATGGGGAGAAAGGAGACAAGAAAACAAGGGAGCCCTGCTGCAGGTGAGCTGGGGAGTCCAACAAAGAGCTCTCCAAATAAAAAAACTCATTTCAGGAAAGGAAAACTGAATCCTACACCTCATGCACCTTTCAGCTCAGGTTTGCAAAACAGTCTGTGATCAGAATTTTGCTCAAATGGTTGCATTTTGTTGATTATTTCTTGGCAACAGCCAGGAARTGAAATCTGTGGCTGTTTAAGCCATTTCTTGCTGTAAATGAGGGCCACGAAGTCTACTTTCCAGACTCAAATGATGTGTCACCTAGGTGCAGCAGGAGCCCATCCATAGCCTGGACACAGAAGGCAAGTTCTGTGCAGAAGTGCAGGAAGAGCTGACAGATAAAGCCATTGACCAACCATCCTCTTACCAGCTAGTCTGCCTGTAGTCTGACTGAACACACAATAAAACAAATATCCACACTCACTTCCTGACAGGAATCTTCCCCTCTTCATTCAGCTGCAACTTCAGCTTCACCAGACTGTAAAAAARAACCCAAWCAAGATTACAAAACTCTASCTGYACAATCTTAAGAGATCCTACTAAGTAAGGAGAAAGAAAAAAYATGCAATTGGGAAATCAATCTAACAATGAACTGAAAATCAGAGTCTACAGACCATCAGCTTAACCTTGGCATGATCCAGGCCTTGGYCTGGAGGCTGCCAAGGACCCTGGATGCTTAGAAGTCTTTTCCAGTAGTRACAGAATGTGCAGGACAGAGATGTTTCAGAGAACAAAGTTTCTCAGAAAGGACTTACATTTTCTCTAGGAAGGTGTAGCGGGGAGCATTGTATGTGAGGGGATTCCGAACGATGGCCATAATATCCTCAGCCCAGTCCTGGAACAAACAGGGCAGAAGCAGTTGGGCATTATGGGATRGCTCCAAGAAGTATGCAGCAAACACAGAAAGGGAACAGAATCATGGAATGGCCTGGGTTGGAAGGGTCCTTAAAGCCCATCCACTCCCACACCCTGCCATGGGGAAGGACACTTCGACTGGCCCAGGTTGTTCCAAGCCCCTTCCAACCTGACCTTGGACACTTCCAGGAATCCAGGGGSARCCACAGCTTCTCTGGGCACCCYGTGCCAGGGCCTCCCCACTCTCATAGAGAAGAAATTCTTCTCACATCCACTCAAAATCTACCYTCTTCCAGTTTAAAACTGTTACCCCTTATCCTGTCTGATATGACCAGGCTTGGCTCTATTACCTTCCTCCTGCCTATAAACACCAGGAGCTGAAACTTTTCCACTCCTCAGATGTCTRTTCATCCATACAAAACACATGAAGGACAACAGTGACTCACTAAATGTCATCTGGTCATTCTCCGTGCAGGGCAGAGGATGTTCTAGAACTATGGAGGTACCACACTTGACTGGAACATAAACCTGCTTGTTTATAACCTTGTCAGGAATGCTGACAGGGCTCAGGGTCTCCCTTTCCCACTTCCCATTGAATGCCCCAATCCTTAGTGGTTCCCAGTGCTTCCCCAACCTCAGGAGCCGATACCTTGCCAATATTCTCCTTGTAGGACACGAAGTTATGGAAAGTGAGGTCAACCATGTCAGGGCCAGACACAATTGTCAGGGTCTTCAGCAGGAAGGTGCTGTGAGGGTAATCCAAATTAAAAACCTCTCGGAGCTTCAGGGACTGCAAAGGAAACAGAACAGATTGGGGTGATTCAGAACAAGGGAAAACTGTACCCCAAAAAAACCAGACCCAATATACACATTGGCCCAAATTCACAGCAAGCATCTCAAGGGTTAAAATTGCTTAGTTCAATCTTCCTTTCCTTGACTTTCCTCATTTTTTATCTTTATTCTGGAGCCTGCACTGCCTGGATGGTAGCCTCCATAGGATGAGCCATCATAACTAATGCCCCTACACAAGTCTAAAAAAGTCTAAGTTGGAGACTGYTCTCAAAGAAATTTCTTCTGAAACTTAGCCTGGGCTTGGCTTGCAGACAAGCAGGGGAGGGTTTGGCCTGCTTGTGCCARGGGTGTGTAAACAGTTGTTTTTGTCAAAACACACACACTAAAAGAAGTGCATTAATGTGACACCTTAACTTGTGACCTCCGTCCACAAGAAAGATGTTTTTTGAGACTCCCTATCACTTCAGAGCTGGGTTCTTTCCCTCCAAGCCCCATTTTCTGCTGCTGTCAGTTACTAGTAGTGGTTTTTTCCATAGCTATTCCAGCACCCTACAGCAATGGCTCACCAGGGACTTGTTTTGTTAAGTGTAAGACTCATCCAATTAGTGGTACTTGGACTGCAGCATCATATGAAAGTATTTATAGAATCTTTTAAATTATTCAGCATTTTCTGCATTCCTATGCATGATGTCACTAAGCCAAGGTATCCAAGGCATCCCAGAGTTTTACTGTTGGTGCTGTTTATAATGGAAAGATAAAATCCTCACTCCTAGAATAAAGCACAGCAATTCATTATCTGAAGTGCAGGACAAATCCCTGTYCAAGCAAACAGGGAGTTGTCAGAACACCTGCTCCTTTAGAAACAGGACAAAATCCACAATCTGGGGTTGCTAGAGCAGGTCAGACGTGGAGGTTAAACTGGAGCTAGAATCTGAGTGCACCATCAGGCTTCAGTCTGCACCACATCCCACAGCTGCATACACATTTTATAAGGAACTGCAGAATTTTTTCCACTGCAATTTTCCAAATTTCTGGAACATTTGCAATTTTAACACATCTGTAGTAAACAGGCATCTTTAAGAAAAACAGGATGGATTGTAACTTAGGAGCATCTGACTGCTGTCTCTTGTTTTGGAAAAGCACCTCTCCAAGGGGGAAACTCTGAAACCTGTTTAATCCCAGAGCATTTGGAGAGAGGGAAGGGAAAGAATATTGTTTGTCTATTTTCTACAAGGAAGTTTCCAAAATGGCTCGCTCTTGCTTTGTGAGCCRTTTTCCTTCAGAACTGAGCACCACCAAACACCCACATCTCCTTCCCATGCTCCTTGTTGGAGCTCAGCTTTCCAGTGCCAACATCAAAGTGTTGGGATTTTAACTCCAAATTTACATTCATCTTGCAAACGCACCAGCAATTTGTTTAGCACCAGGGCTGTACAGGAGAGGAGGCCCAGACAATGGCGAACTTGTGGTTGTGCTGAACTCATTTCCTGTATTTGTTATCTGGACTCCTCCCAGCCCTTCCTTCTCGGCACGCCACTCTTGAGCAGATATTTGTTACCTGGCTCTCTCCAGACCTCTCTGTTCAGCCAAGTGCTTTTACCCTTATCCAGGCAGTGATGCATCCAACACCCATTGAAAATGTGGAGAGAGAACCAGGGACTGTGTGCAGGAGCTCTGAACCTGATGCCACATTGTGGCTCTTTCGCAACCCGCACTCCTTTAGTGCCTTGTGCCACAGCTTCACTCTGGGATTACTTACTGTCACTTTGCAGGTAGTCGTAGAGGAAAAATAGGAATTGCTTCATGAAAAGCAGGACACACATTAGCCATGCAAATCAGAAGGGAAACAGGCTTAGCAAATCCTCTTAAAAAAATCCAGAGAAGCTGAAAACCCACTGGCAGAGTGGCTGAAATACAGTCAGCTGCCATTTCACATCCCACCCTCTTGATTTCCCTAAAATCCTCAGCTGTACAGAGATCCATAGTTCAGAGAGAAACAAATTCTCATGCAAATATAAACAAAGAGCCAGAGACAGACACAAGACAGAGAGGGATGGTCCTTTCTCTGCCTAAAAGGGAGCAAAGCCAAGTGACAGTGGGACCTGCTGTGTCACTGTGTCCTGACAGAGCTGTGTCTTGTGACATAAGGACAACAAATCTTTTGGAGAAGGGAGGTCTTGTTTGGTTGCCAGAAGGGAAAAAGGAAGCCCCAAGAATCTTTCCGATGTCTTTGACTTGGGAGGTAATGCTCCTGCCCTCATTAGCCTCGCTGCTCCATGCTGATGACAATGGCTAAGGAACAGGGAGGGCCAGCCTGTTCCTGTGCCAAGCATCTCAGGGATACAGGCAGACAAAAATGTACAGTGAAGCACTCTCAGTGTCTTATCTAAAGGAACTGGAAAATGCAGCAGYTCAGATTCCCAGCATCACTCTGCAACCCAGCAGGGACAGAGGAGACTGTGAGGCCTTGGAGCTCACTGCACAACAATGGCAGAGGCAGGAGGGCCCAGCAGAGCAAAGGCCATCTCTCATARGTGCCCATTCTCCTTGCTCAGCTCCTGCTCCACCACTGATAGACCCTTTGCCAGCCACAGCTTTGCCTCTCTCTTGCACACTCATAGAACAGTGCCTGCATACAGCTCCATATGATCACTCTCCAGCTGGAGGGCTGCAATTAGACTTAGTTCAGTTCCACGCTGGGCTCTCAAGTTACYGAATCCCAGAGCCACAGATGCCCCAGCCCCTGCGCTGCAGCAGAACTGCTGACCACCCACAACATTTACAGCCTGTGGCTCACAGCCCACAGYTCAGCTCGAGAGCACTGTGATTATCCTGTATGGTTTCTGAACAGGCCCCCTGGCTCCAACTTTATCATCTCAAAACATGAGTGAAATGCCTTGGGATCATTTTCTCCCTGTACAAGTAGGATGCAGGGTGCATCTCCAGGGTCAACACCAACAGAATGAAGTTGGTCTCAAATTATGACAACCAGAAAGTACAACTTTTGTTTTTATTAAAAAATATACCTGTCTCAAAGCCAATGCCTCCTGAAACATCTAAACAAACCCCAAGACACAGCCAACAAACAGCCTAGCCTGAAACATCGTGTATTTCAGCCTTGTTTATTATAATCTCTGGCAGCATTCTGGGGTCTTGGTGCCTCCAAAAAAGAAACCACAAAAAGAAACCACAATTGGAGCAGCCTTTATTGTTTCTCATTACTGAAATGAAAACACAGACCTGAGTGTAAATAACAGCCTGATGTGTTGGTACACTGCTGAACTACACTCAATAGCTTTTTAATCATGTCTCCTTGCTGTTCAAAGGCCCTGCTCATTCTTATCTTTATTACTCTTGAACACAAGCCAAAGTTCATTCTGCCCCATCTCAAAAAAAAAAAAAAAAATTCCGTGAAAAGTCACTGCAGAAACACAAAGCCACTGCTAAAGAACCTCTCACAGGCCGGTGAGCAAGGGAGCCCGGCACAGGCGTAGGAGGGGCCAGGGAGGACTCAGCTCTGTGGTGAAGCGTGGGCTGGGGAGGAGGGGAGAKAGCTGTTCCCATTTGGAGGTGGTTCCTATGGCTGCCAGCCCCTCGTGAGCCCCTTTTCATGCTGTGCTGGGCACTACCTGCTCCCTAAGCATGAATGGGGTCCCCGGTGAGACCTGTGCTAGCAGTGCATGACTGTAGGTCCCTTCTCAAGTGGTTTCTCATGTGGGTGCTTTGGTGTTATTCTTCTTGCTGTGTGTAGAGGTTACAAAAAAAAAAAAACCAAAACCAACCAACCAACCAAMCCTCCGACTCGGCAGAGGTGGGAAAGTGCAGCTGAAAGCAGGGAGCTCCCAACACCCACAGCGACCCACACTCTGTTCTCAGAGAGACTCGTCAGTGCCTGAGACTGGAAACCTCAGGGCATATTACACCCTTGAGCCACAGCCAAAACCTGCACAGCCCCTTGCTGTGGAAAGTGGTRGCACAGATGCTGTCCACACAGAACTCTCTTCCTGTGGAATTCCTTCAATCCAGTAGGAAAACCAGGCCACAAGCTTTGCCTCAGAGCATCTGCAGATTGATTGTGGCATCACTTGCAGAAAAGGGGAAGGGATGCTCTGTTTGTTGCAGGTGCCATCCACAGCTCTTCCTAGAACTGTGATCCTGTTCTCCTTGTCCTAAATAAGGCTGATGGCTCWTTTTTTTTTCTCCACCTTTAGGCACTGAAACAAGTCTTTATACTAAATCCAACAGTTCTACAACCATTCCAAACTACTGTTTTGTAACAGGGCAGAGAGCACCCATGTTCATTCTTCCACCTCAAAACAGATCTTTCTTTGTTTCGCCACACCAGTTTTTTATATCTATACCTTTTGTAACAAAAACTCAAACATAGCTGTACCATGTGGAGGTTCATGCAAAGCATTTTCCCTCCTTTCAGCATTCCTTTGTGAAATGCKGTTCTCAGGAGAGCCAACTGAACACACCCCTGAAGGCTTTAAGCCAGAGGCATCATGGAGAGCAGAGCCAAACATAGGTTAAGAATTTTCCAGACCCAGATGGCACATCTTTGGTTCAACACCATTTGCCCACACAAGACCTCCCAGGATCCACAAGGGAAAGGTAGATAAGGAGCCAGTCTATTGCATCTTACTACAGGTTATCATAGGATTCCAGAAAACTCCCTGAAATAAAAAGGGGACTTACTTCAAATGAGTCTCTGTAAAATGCAGAATTCAAAAAAGCACTTGGGATTTTCACAGCAAAGGTTGTCATCAAGGGCAACWCTTCTGTCCACTGAGAATACTTAATAAATCGGTCAGTGCTTGACCTGTGCTTCGTTGTTCTTTAAAAATGAGCTGCAGCCAATTCCCAGGGCTCTAAAATCCYATCCCTGGCCTATTACAACAGCAACAATAGAGCAGCTCCATCCAGGTGCCTAAGGAAAARCACTGGTCCAGGGCAAAAGCACTGACACTTCCCTGACACATTCCTGCAGCTCCCAAACCCACAGACATTATCTCACATTTAATAGCCCTCTAAGGGCATTTCCTTATTGTACTGATGTTTTATACTCATTTTTCCATGACTGCGCAGGAAGCATCACCCATGGCTCACAGTGATACGAGGTGGGACAGCAGCACAGCACCTCCTGCTTGTGCTACACCTGCCTCTGGAAAATTCCACCTGACAGGGAGCTCCTGCACTGCAAAGAACCCTGAGTAACTG